AGAACCGGTTGTTAGAAGAAATCTCATTTTGTTTTTTTCCCACTTTACAGGGCTAATCCTGTAAGGAGGGCAGGAAGGAAACATTCTGGTGTTATTTCTAGCCTCATCTTTATTGCTCTCCTTTCAGAATCTGCCTCTCCGGTTAACCCTTATTACATTGTAACAGCTAAGGAGAAGCGCCCATCGACATGAGTGATGTTGAGTTGGCCACACCCAATCACATGGCCACCGAGCCACGCCTACCCAGCTGGTCATTAGGGCAGAGAACCGGTTGTTAAATTATTTGAATCCCACCACTGCACTAGGCCAACTTAGTTCCACCTATCGTGTGAAGACAGCTGGTAGATGAATTGTTTGGTGGATTATTGATCTTCTGCAACTCAAAGGCAGTAGGGTTTTGTTTTTTGCTGGCTTTTTGATTCCACTTAATGAATTTGGCATTGAGACCCGCGGTACAAAAAATGTCAATAGTCCAGAAATCCTCCCGGGTTTCAAAAAAGCCAAAATATGGATATGATTAGGTGCTATGCTTCTGCTTCGTTGGCATCAGCATAGAGGGGTGATGTTTTCCCATCCTTCCAGCGTACCATCACGTCTCCCAAGATTGGTGTTTTGGGAAGCAAATTGTCTTCAGCTCGATCCGGATTCTCTTTGTTTAGCAACACAAACGCCTGCTTCGCTTCTTCTTCATCCAGCGGGGTGTCTTCATAGCCTTCTTTGTGGGGGAAAAGGACCTTGTGGTTTCTGTGGAATGGAGAAAAAAACAATGTCTCCTCAACCATCCATTTCTGAGCATTCACCTCCAGAGATGATAGCAGGCAGTTAGGGGGAACCTAAGACTCGCTCAAAATAAGCATGCAAAGACATGAGCCCTGCTTTGGGAAAGTTTGGAAACGGAGATGGAATTAACTTGACTTAAATTAATTAATTTAAATTAGTTTAATTAATGCAAAGCTTCTTTTCTGGTAACATTGTACTGCAAACTAGAGCATACAAAACTTTTCCCAGACCAATTCTGGAATACAGCTCGTCTGCCTGGAATCCACACTGTATATTGGACATTAATACAATGGAGCAAGTCCAGAGGTCTTTCACAAGAAGAGTCCTCCACTCCTCTGCTCACAATAGAATCCCTTATGCCACTAGGCTTGAAATTTTGGGCTTGGACAACCTGGTATTGTGCCACCTTCAGTCTGACCTAAGCGTAGTACACAAAATTGCCTGTTACAATGTCCTACCTGTCAATGACTACTTCAACTTTAGCCATAATAATACACAGGCAAACAATGGATACAAACTCAAGGTCAACTGCTCCAAACTTGATTGCAGAAAATACGACTTCAGCAACAGAGTGGTCAATGCCTGGAATGTTCTACCTGTCTCGGTTGTTACATCCTCAAAACCCCACAGCTTCAACCTTAAACTGCCTACCGTGGACCTCACCCCATTCCTAAGAGGTCCATCAAGGGGGCTTGCATAAGCGCACCAGCATGCCTAACGTCCCTGTCCTACTGTCCCCATTTATTCGTACCCATTTCCTGTGTTCATGTCCATGTTTATACTTAGACCTGTTATCTTGCACATGTTCAACAAACTAACTAATTAAATAAATAATAATTAACTAACTAACCAGGGCTCACCTAAGCCTAATCACACCACAAATATAATATTGGCTTGCTCTTTGTGTCTATGGTAAGGTGACCAGACATCCCGATTTTGGCGGGACAGTCACGATTTCTAACAATTTGTCCCGTGTCATTTATAAAAAGTCCCGATTTTCTGGCTTCATGTTGAAAGCCCAGTGGATTTGCTTAAGAAA